TAATTTCATAGGAATATAAAAATGTCCCACTCAAACTGGTGGGAAGGGCAGTGGGCAGTATATTTGTCTAGAAAGTGAAAAACTCAATTTCAAATCTCTGTGACACCCAAACAGCCACCAGTGAATCGGCAGTGAACCACTGTGAAACTGTCCTCCAGGACTATGGCCCATTAGGCTTGAATATTGTCAATCTGCATCTCCCACACCCCAAAGCCACCGGAGCCTCCAGCCAAATAACGTTTACTTCTTGCCCCACAGCAAAACGGCTCCAGCAGAAGTGATTTATCAATACGGTGGGTAATCTATGCAGGAGAGAGGTGTGCATCTTCCACAGGTTGCACTGATCTGCTGACCTCGGGCTAATCATCATCTGAGGAAACAGAGTCATGCTTTGCCTTTTCCCAGTCTGGTAAAAGTCTCACATGGAGGCATAACCTACACCTGATCGAGTTCAACCAGCCTGCTATAAAACTCATCCAAGACCCTCATACAACAAAGTACTAGCTCGCTCATGAATTATAAATGGTAGGACTATTCAAATGCTTCAGCAACTTGCTCAAATGGTGCCTATGATCATCTTAATTTCATTTTGCCCCCCAAGTGCTGCTTGATCTCCAATAAATATCCTACTGTTGCTTTGCTTTGTGTTAGGTTAGAAGCAGAGACCTTGGTGGTTCTCACCTAACCCAAACACTGTCAGACAAGGCTGTTTCTAGCTATGGAAGACTCTTCAAGAGCTTAACAGACATTAGTGTCAAAATATGAATTGAAAAGAAGCTGGGTTTTCCAGATATCAGAACTGTTGGGTACGAATTATGTTGCTGTCCCTGAAATTTTGTATTGATATATTTTAATATGCAAAGTTCATAAAATCGTTATTTCTATATCCTAGGTAAAGTACAAAGAGTAATTCCAAAATACTCTAGGAAGAAATAGCAGGTGTTGCAATGGAAACTAATGGCAGATACTGGAATAAAAATACTAACGAGAAAAAAAAAATCAAGTTTGAGGTTCAGTCTCTGACTTGCTTCCCCTTGATGGGCAGCAAAGTTGCATTTTAGCAGTGTGAGTTTGGGCTTTACAGGTAGAGGCAGAGAGCTTGCAGGCAGCCACAGATTGCTGGGTCAGCGCAGGGCAATTTACTTGATGGAATTAATCTAAAGCTTTCTAATTGGATTCAAAATAAGTTTTGGGTCCTTTTTTGCTCCATTTTTAAATATCATATATATATTTTTTTAATCTGATTCAAAATGAATATTGAAAACGGAGCAAGCCAGGAAAATGTTTGTTGCAGTCCGCTTAGTTTTCCACTGCAGCTGACACCCTGACCAGTGCAGATTTCCTGACTTCTGGCTCAGAGTGGGAGTAAAGATAAATGAAGTGTTTGAGTGGTGGTGTTTTGCCCAGAACTTGTACAACTGTGTGAAAATGTGTCGCCTGTTTCCTTCCTTGGGATCAGCACCAGATGGCCTGAAGGTTATACTGAGTAAAGGCAACTCATCTCCTTGTTAATCCCTTGTGTATCAAATCAGCTCTTTCCCTGAGGGGGAAAAAAAATAAAATAAGGGAGAAGAAAATGCTTTTAGCTCAGGCTTATTAATCTTTTGCTAGTCAGAGTTGTAAGATCATGGGCAAAGAGGATCCCTTCAATTTTTCAAATAGTTGATTCTGTGTTTTTTTTAGCATTCCTCGTCTTTAGGCTTATGTCATGTCTAAAGCTTTCCAAGTATCTACAATAAATCCATGTGTTCAATATTAATGTTAAATTAGCTTATGACTCTTACCTATATATTTTTAAATAAGATGCTTTGCCATGGGTTAGTGCTTGTAGAAGTTCCTGTACTTGGAGCTTTTTTGTTTCTTTAGCATGTTGCACACCTGGGGGTGGCGGAACAAAAATCTGGTGATTGCAGCAATATGCTGCTTTAACTTAATCACTGTTGGAGGTATAGCTTGATTTACTATTTTTGGTAATTCCGAAGTACTGTAAAGGAGCAGATTCATTCTAGTTTCTAGTGCTTTTATCTGAGAAGTTTTTTCCCAGTGCTTCAAAAATATAGGTGTGTGGCTGTTTTACCCGTGAAATTACAAAGATACAAAGATTACAAACTACTACCCACCTGATTGAAAAAGTTATTTCTATCCTAGTGCTGTAAAATAGGAAGGAAGAGCACGTGGCTGTTTTTGAAGGTACACGTTTTCTGCTTTTGGTGTCTATACTCTGGATTTATAAATCATGACATGTAACTTGCAAAATCAGCATCTTGCATTGACATTTCTGGACATTTAGTTATCTGAGAGAGAAATTAAAAAAAAAAAAATCAATTATAGCATCTCCTGTCTAGTTTTCCAGCTTGCTAGGAAAGATTTAAGTGCCAAATGGAAGCAAATGGAGAAGAGGAGGAGCTCTCCCTGCAGCTGGAAGGAGGTCTGGGACCGGGAAGACATCCAGACAGGTACGTCTGTGAATAAAAATGCAAGGCCTCTCAGGTCACCAAATTCATTCCCCTGCTTCATTTATTTCAATAAATTGACATCAGTAACATAAAGCTTTGGAAGGATCCGTCTGGAGATTGCAGAAATAATATTATAGCAAATGCTAGTATGTGTCTCTTTGGATATGTAACAGCTTTTCATATTAGGCTCTGTTATTCTGTATTTTGCATATTTGCTTATTTAACACCAGCTTAATGCACTGTGCATTGAAGCAATCCTCAGTAATGTTAATGACAGACTCCAACACAGCAATGTTTATTTCTAAAAGCAACAAAGATGTTGGCATGGTAATTTTCTATTATTTCAACTGCAAGGCTAATCAGAATTAGTCTGATTACTTCCAACTTCTCTCCCTCCTCCTCCTCCTCCACCTCCTCCCCACTCACAGTGAATCACTTCTAATCATCATGCACTACTGCATGCATTTCCTTGGCAAGATCTGTCCTATGGGCTTTAGTTTGCTTGATGAGTGTGTTTTGTTGAAATACACAATTTATTTAGTATTCAGCACTAAAAGGTAGTCACGATCAAGTAACAGTAAAGCTACATCCAAAGAACATTTAGAAGATTATAGCATCCCAACAGTACAGTTGTTGAAAAACTCTTCAAAGGACTAGGTTAGGAATATTGTAGCCATACATGAGGCCAAAAGGGAAAACAGAATGAAACTGAAAAAAGATTTTTCTTTCACCAAAATATTATACATTTTTTTCAGTGTATTTGCTAACATTTATTTTAAATGCAATCTGGATATACTCAGCCCTTCACATATAATTTGGGAAACATGCATCATATTAAAGTATGAACTAGTAGTCTTGCATCTGTTCACTGTATCTGTGTAAGTAGTATGGCCCTGCAAGCATCTGAATTTTCAATGTCTTTTTATTAATATTAGCCTAATCTTTTCTCCCCAAAGTTTTATGTTCAATACACAGAATAGTTATTTGTTAATGCAAAATATCTTCTCTGCAGGGGAAAGATAACTTCTTTTTCACAATGTAGCCAGAGATGCAGAGTACTCCTAGAATTGCACAGGCAAACTATTTTGCCACTAGAAAAGTAATTTCTTGCTTTTGTCCTCTCTTTCATTTCTTCATCCTTTTTATTCCTATAGATCTCTAACTTAAGTTATCAATCTCAATGGTTTTCCTCTAGCTTATTTTTAAAAGATCACTTGTTCATTTCTTTCCCCTCTGCATTTTAGCAGTAAAAAAAGAAAAGTATGAAACAAAATTGCCTTTCCTCTTGATCTCATCCTCTAACTGGTCTCTCTTAGTGACTGACTGTACTTTCTGCTCCAGATCATTATGGCTGTCTTCTACCTCCATGGTACTGTCCCTACTCAGTCTTTTTGTGTTTTCCCTTTATTCTAGAGCCGACCACCCAAACCAGAACTGTCACCCATGCAGCCCTGATTTGCTATAGGATAAAGGGAATGAGGTTTCTGGACTGCCCTCACCCTCTTCGGGCTGTGATGCCCATGGGGCCCCACACAGACAAGTCAGACACTGAACTGGTTGTGCGCAGGAAGTCGAGGTGAGCCATGCCCTAGAAACTCTGAACTGGAGTTTCGTATTGTGACTATAAGGGTATTTCTTATGGGTTAGGTTTTTTTTTACTGTAAAGGTTAAAGGCTTTTTTTAGGTAGAAACTGCAGCAAAGTGTTAAGAAAGGGAAGCTGTGATTAACTCTAAAGAAAGGAAGGGAAGGAGTGAAAGGTACCAAAGACCAGTTGCACGAAGTTGGTGGTTATTCCTCATACACATTTGCTCTTTTCTCAGATTCTTTAAGCTTAGGTGTTGCTAAAGCAGCATTTTTTGCCTTTTTCAGATGCAAGCGTGGGCTTTGTAGCACCTTTATCAAGTACAGAACAAGGCAAGTCCAACATTAACCTGAACTGATTAATCAGGTTTACAATCCAGAGAGCCGAAGAGTAACCTCCCGTTGGTTGGCATCCAGTGTGATTGCTGACAGCTGCACTGTGTCTTTTTTATTTCCCCCTCTATTTTTGTGTTGCCTGCTAAAGCATTTACAACTGCATGGTTATGTATTTGGCTGCATCTTGTTAATATTCGGATAGCTCAAGCAGAAAACTACATCTTCGACTTCAGTAGCAAACAACACAGGTTGTTACCCATAAATATTGTCTTAGCTCTGGAATCAGGTTTTATATTCAAAGAATCCTACAGGTACCCAGGCGTTTTTCCTGATTCTCCATATATGACCTTATCTGAAGTCTCTGTATCTTCTCTGGGATTATGTAGTAAAGTTTGAGGGACATGAGTGTACTGTTAAATTTCTGGATAAAATATTAAATAGAAAAATTAGAAAAATGACATTTTTTTGTTTTAAAAAAGTATGTTAATCTCTGTATTAAGTTTGCCGTTTTTGGAAGATTTCTGATTTATTTTAGGCACAGTGACATTTCACATCTTTATTTTTATTTTCATTTTTCTTTTTTTCTCTCCTTCCCCCCCCCTTCTGTCAAGTACCAAGGTTTTGAGTCTCCTTAAACTAAAGAACCCAGTTCTGGAAGATTCTGACTGTCCCACGGTGCCCAGAATGCTCAAAACCTATTGCCCATTAGAGTTGAGCATAAATGCTCAACTTACATTGGAGCAGAAAGGAATTCAAAAGGTAAAAGAGGAATGTACTGTGTGATGTCTTGGCAGTGGGAGGTGAAGTGCACGCATTCATATTAAGCAAGCAGAGTGGAAGCTGATCCATGCTCAGTAAAACTCACATAAAAAATCCTGGCAGTGCAATCGCGGGCTGCTTCATGCATGACTTCTGCAAGTCACTACGTTTTAAAGACGTATGGGCTCTGAACTCAATTGTTCCACCTGTCAGCTAAGCCAGGACCCAGTCTCCTTTTTCACTGTATCCAGGCAAGAGGATATACTATCCTACAAAAGCTCTGAAGAGGATTGATTGGTTGAAAATGTCCTTGTGGGCCTCTGCAGCAGCCTTCCAAGAAGGCAAGCCAAAGATGTTGAAAGACACGTGTTGGTTTGCCTCAAGTTCCCATCTGGAAAATCCCAATGAATTCCTGAACGTTTCTATGGGCCATGAATGTCCCTGTGCTGCAAGGAGATCTGCCGGCCCCTAGGCTGAAACTGCCCCATCCCCTGCAGTGCATGAGGCTTTGAACAGTGATACCACAGAAGAGTGAGGCTGGGGAGATTGTCTTTAGTAACTGGGGAGATTGTCTTTACTAACTTTGAGTGTGTTTCAGTCAGTTTTATGCTTCTTTTCCAAAGAGGAGAACTTTAAATTTAATTTTGTGGTAAAAAAAAAAAAAAAAAAAAAAAAAAAAAAAAAAAACAGCTTTTATGTAACTTTGCCTCTAGGATCTGGGGTTTAAGGAGCACTTCTCAAAACAGTCATTACTGTTGGTATTGCAAATTACTCCTCTTAAAGAACAACACCCAGGCAACAAAAGGACCCAGCTTGGACCCCAGGGCTAAAGATGTAGCTATAGCTGTGTGAGACCATTAACGGTAACATCAGTGATCTCTGGAACAGTCAGAAGTGAACTTTTTTACTACCAAATTGCTTAGCAAATATTTCTCATCAGTATCTGGTTTCAATTTGCTACTAGGTTTAATAATTTCATTAAAGGAATGCCTTGTAGCACTGCAGTATTTTTATAGATGTATGATGAAGAGCTAGTTGGAATATATTCAGCAAAATTTTCTTCTGTTGAAATATGCTGTTTCATTCAATCAAAGATGTTCTGGCTACAGACATTGATTTACAAGTTTTGACAATGATTTCTGCAAATGACTTTATGGATGTTGCAAGAACCAAGCTGTTTTCATACTTTAAAAGCTTATGTTTTTAACAATTGCTAGATTTTTTTTTGTTAGAATTTTAACATAAATACATGATTATTTTTACGTTTACTGCAGAGTAATTAAGTTTGGTGGGTTTTTTTTTTGTTGTTGTTGTTGTTTTTTAAAGAAGGATCACGACAAAACAGAACAACCACCAATACAAAATGATGCCAACAAATGTTCTTAAAAGGCTCTATAATTTCAAGAATCATGTGGAAAACGGAGAGGTCAAAACAGCCACAGAGCAGGTACTGATAATGTGCATGCCTATTGAAATCACTATTTAAATCAGTTAATGTGGTTTGCTCTGGTCAAGACATTCCAGGTCTAGATATACGCAGAATGATTATATGTAACCATCGTAATGTGGATTTGTTGGCACAACATACATATAATCTCTCAAATTTCCCAGCTGTTAATAAGCATAAATGGCAAAATGCAGTATGAAATTTAAGCTTTTCCCTCAGGAAAGCCAATACAAATTTTGCTACGGTAGGATTTGTAGGGGCTATAATTACCCCAGTCTTGGATTTGCAGCGTGAAGTTCAAGGATTGCTTTGCTTAAAGAACAAAGATGTATCAGCCCAACCACCTGGAGACTCCACGTTCAAGTTTTTGGATTTGTTGGGTTCCCTAAATACCAAAGCAAAGCATGAATACAGGTATGTGATTGCTCTCTGCCCTGATGGAAGAATCAGTAAGGAAGACAATTGTTGGTCGCATACTAGATTTGACTAAAAATTCTCCGTCTTCTCTATGTTACAGAAAGTGGAAATTATATTAAAAGTCTCTGAAAAATAGAAGAACTGCTTGATTGCTGTTTCCATCTGGATTTTAGAGAGACAAACATTAAATATTCATGTTAGATTAATTGCAAAGAAAATGTATTTCTTTGCACTGATACCCCTTCTCCTGAATTTCAGTTATTGCGCTAATTTTATCTTTTTCTTCAGGCAGTTGCTCTTCAAAATAATTCTCCTTCCATCCTATCCCTCCCTCTCACATCATAGATCCGCTCTGAAGAGAAGACATCTGCACGCATGCAGGGTAAGTGTCCAAGCAGTGATGAGAGGACTTGGAACCAGAAAGCACCCAAGTAAAACAGAGCATGTCCCTCAGTAGCTGCAGAGGGAGTCCTGATTAAACAGGCTGGATAAGGGAGTGTGCAAGGACCTAGGATGGGGCTTATGGCTTTGCAGTCATCAAAAGCAGCTCGTCAGCATCCTGGTCGAGTTAGACTACAGTGAATGAAAAATAAGTTTGGCTTTTGCTTAAATGCCCTGGTAAGTAGTCCACTTGAGCAGCACTGGAAATCAGCAGCGATGAAAATGATCCTATACATTTGTACCTTGGAGCAAGACAGTTTTCTAGGAGAGATGCTTGAGTGGGCAAAGAGGAGTCATGCACTCAAGAAGAGCCTCGGCAGGGGCTCAGACAAGGTGGTCGCAACAGTGTGTGTCCTGGCTGTAAAAGCTGAGTTATGTTTTAAAGGACTGTCTCAAAATGACAGTGCTAATAGCACATATCGAATAAGGCTTTGCAAGATTGTTTTTGAGCATACGGCTTTGGAAAGCTGTCAAACACTTGAAAATGTAGGAATAAATATACTCCTCCGTTATTTTTAGGCACTTCTCCGATTCTTAAGTAATAAAAAGTATATGCCCCGGTATGTGCTCACTCTGTGCCAAATATTGTATAAGTCAAAGACAGAGCACGTTCCTGCACAGTAACTGGGCCAGTCACATGCAATTACTTCAGATGAGCTGACAAAATGTAAATGCATTAGAAAAAAATCTCATCCACACCATTAATTTCTTGAATTGCTGGAATGTGAGAAATTCAGTGAATAGCTTTCACACCTGGTCATACTCTCTTTTTTTCTTTTTTTTTTGTTTTGTTTTGGGTTTTTTTTGTTCGATTTTTGTACAGAAAATTGCAATGCAGTTGGCACTAACTGCCTGTTTCAGAATGCCTACCAATATTCATCTCTATACCCTGCTCCTCCCCGCCCCCCGAAAAAAGTCATCCATCCATGTTAGGTCTCTACAAAAACACTACTAAGTCAGTTCATTGACAGAAGTATTTGCAAAATCCAGTCACTTAAATGAATACTAAAGATTATTTACAGGAGACTGATGATTTTAAATATTCTTAAAATTGTTTTTTCAGCCTAATTCCTGGCCTGATCTACCCTGTGAGCAAAGAAATCTAGTTGCTTACAAGGAGGACTCAAGTTTTCAGTATCAATTACTTGCTGCAAATTGTTTATGAACAGTCATAGAAATTATTCAATACACAGGGTAAAATTCTGGAATGATTATGAGGTTCTTTAAGGCCAGACTCCCTGGGCAAAAATAAAGGCGAATTCAGTAGTTAGAAGTATGTGCTGTGAATATCCTAAGTTCCCACAGAACATTTTCTAGTTATGAATCACTGAATAAAGTTATACTTAATGGGATTAAAGTTAAAATTTATTTTGCTAACTGACAAAAATACCTGTCCTTTTATCTTGATTTGTCACTGCAGGGATCCAAGGGCAGTTGCTGTTGCTGTGTATGGAGAGAGGATGTGGCTCAGAACAGAAACCAGAAGCGCTGGGTAGCAGAGGCTCCACATCTTCCTCCCAGAGACAGCAGCACCGCAGCACTTCCAACCTGCCTTTCCTGCCACTCTCAGTAAAGTTCTTTACGTGGGTCACAATTTGGCCCTGCTGTGGTAAGAGAAGAGTATGGTTTGGTTTGGCTTTTTACAGACTTCAACAAAACAAGAATTTAAGCAGGAGTGCCTGTCCCTCAGTGTTTTCCCGCTGCTGCTTTTCCCCACTTCCTCTGTGGCAATTTTTCTTTCACTCTCTTTTGTACATGGTTTCTTCAAGCCCTGCAGGGTGCCTGGGCTAAGACACTAAGAGACAGTGAAACTGAACATGCTCCTGACACAGAATTTGTTGGGGTTGGAGGAGCCTCCTCAGGAACTGGTAACTTAGCACGAGCCCCTGCACTGTCCTTCCGTGACAGACTGCAGACTAACGGGGACAGAGTTTGACAATTTAGCTGGGATAGCAACTTTTGAAGCTTCCTTTATCTCCCTTGCCATAACAAATAAGCCATCAAGTTGAATGAGAATTGCACAGTCATTTTTCTCTTATTATTTAAAAACTCTTCCATTACATATTCTAACAGGAAAACAAATGTTGCATGCTGAAACCTTCAATCTCCCATAAGAAGTCTGAAGAACTGTATTCTTTTGGCAATGATTGCCAGTTGCACAGAGAAGGGAGTGAGGAAGTAAGTCTTCAAACTTCTGCATTTTGTTTTCTCACCCTATTCATGTTTCATTCTAATTACAAGAGTCTCATGTCCATATAGCAAGAGTTTTTGAGTGGAACTGGGGTTATGGGGAACTGAGACAGAAAGGTCTGCAGTTCTAAGCAGGGGTCTTCCCTCTCTGTGAGAGAGAGAAATGGCTTAAAGGAAGAGAGGTAGTGAGCTCATGGTATGTGATAAGAAAAATCCAATTTCTCTATGCGTGCTTTCACTCATGGAACTTCATGGTATGTAGTTACATCCTGCTTCCTATTAATTTCAATTACTCTGTTGTCTCTAGGCTCCATTTGATCAGAATTTATTCCTAAGAAAGACTACATATCTACAAATTATTTTCACCCTTCTAAAAATATTGTTCTTTTAATTTTCTATATAGAAGTATGACCATCAGTTTTGTACTGACCGTTTGCCAAGGTAACATGTTAAATCTAGTTACAGTTTGAGAGTGTGGTATTCTGTGTTTTGTCAGTGTGTTTATACTAGGATCACTTTATGCATTAAAATCCATGCTTTGATTACAATATTATTTTTTTCTAGAAGCTATGTAGGATTTATGAGGATTGCCTGAGCTGTGTTTCTTTGACTTGACTTTTTGCTGCCATTGTCGTTGCTTTGCACCTTACAGAATTTACTCTTGCAGGTTACTAGAACATTTTGCACCACTCCATTTTAATTGAAACAAAGGTTGGTAAACTTATTTGTTATGATAGAGCTATGTCGGCTGTTTTACAGCACTATCCTTTCCTTTAGTTTACTCAGTCTTGATTTATACAAGATTTTATCTTACCTAAACTCAGTGATTTGGTAACTCAAGCATTAGATCAAAATGCTTATAGGATAAATTTTATAGGAAACTGGTAAAATGTATTTTCCCAGAACTAGAGAGCAGGTTCAGTGCGAGAGCTGTTGGGGTCAAGCAGTGGGATCTCTGCACTGCTTCAGGAACGCGACACACACCTTCATTGCAGGGCAGCAAGTCACTATGAGCACTGGGAGGAGGAAGGGAAACCACAGTCCAGGGAAGCTGCATTCGCTAAGTACTAACATGGGCTCCACCAGCAGGATGGAAACTGCTAACTGAAGATGCCTCTTGTTAAGCTCAACCCAAAGCAGTGCTGCAGGACCCAAGATCCAGCCTGGGCAGCCAACAGACAACATCCACTGACAGAGACTGAGAAGTGAATCCAGGCTCCTCCCTTAAGTAAGTGTCATATACAGAGAGACTCTTTTTCCCTTCTTTAACTTTTCTACTATGATTGTCTTGTTGATTTAATAGCAAAGAGGTTGCAGGGTGTCTCTACAGACATTTTCTGATCTCAAGGTTCCCAAAAGAGAAAGTTCTTTATGGCAATAAAGACAAATTGACCCTCCAAAAAGAGCAAGAAACAGTAGTGCTGGAGCTAAAAAAGGCAAGACTGGAAGTGGCAGGGAACCTAGCTTCCCTTTGAGCCTGTCACTGAGACAACTCTTCCCTTTGAGTCCAGCAAAGGCCTTAGGATACTTGCCTCTGGAAAAGACAGAAAAGGGCTGCATTTTTTATGCATTTAAATACCCTGTTGAATTTGCAATTTCAATCCCGATCAAGAAAAAGCAAAACTTTATAATTTCCTATAATGCTGGCAGTGTGAAAGTTGCCTTTTCCCCAGATCTACCTTTTCCTGTCTCAGTACAATTCACTGCTTCCACATTAAGGCAGCCTGGCTGTTACAGCGCTTTGCAATAAAGCAGATTGCTCAAGTGATCCAATATTAAAATTCATTCCTCCTACAGCGCTTCCTTTTATGGATGTCATGGTTTTCTAGGGTGAGAGACTTTGCTTTTACTTTGCTTTTTTATCCAGTCCACTTTGGACAGAAATCAGGAACGGAACATTTAATAGACATCTCCCCCATAAAAAACAATATTGGAGGTTGAATAGTAAGGAACTTAATAGCAAAAGAAAGCACCATCCATTTAGTGAGTTCTTTACAAAGTCACCTAAATGACCTAAAAGGACTTACTATTCAACCTCCAATATTGTTTTTTATGGGGCCCTAGTGCGACATGGGGCCCAGCACGCTCCTGACTTCTCACTTCAATCAGTGGAATTCTGTTCATTTCAGTTGTACATTAAGTCTAAATACTCAGGATTTTCCAAAGTACAGGGGTCTAAATCCTGCTATTTTTGTAAAGAATTGCAAGATCAAAGCTTTTTAAGTGTTACGGTGTTTTTCCACATGTCATTAGAGATGAAAACAAGCTTTCAGCTCAGGCTCACTGATCTATGTTGCTAGAACTCCCTTTGCAGGCTGAAAGGCACCATTAAGAGCATACTGCAACAGTTCTGTTATTTTCAATGATTTGGTTATGCTCATGTCAATGATTAATGCATACCATTATTGACTTACGCATTTCATCAACGACAGGTAATATCCTATGCAGTAATGGCAATGGGGAAAAAAAAAAGAAAACCTACTGAAGATGGGTAAGAACTGTCTTGCACATCCAGGGATCTTGCGTGCCTACCCACATTGAAAGGCAAGTGTCACTTGCCTTTCAAAACCTTCAGAGAGTCTTGGCTCTGTTCAAGATAAACTAGGACATTTGAAATTGCCGTCTCCTAGAATGCATCTGGCAGTTTCATAGCACTGTTTCACATCAATTCACTGAAGGGGTTTGACAGTACAAGGGGTATCCTACTCCCAAAATAATTCTGCATATTTTCATTAAGGAAAAAATATCGTAATTTATACAGAGAATTAAATAGCAGTGGGTTAGAACAGGACCCTGTATTTTCTACTAGGAGTAGTCATGTGGGATACTGAAACTTGAGTTTCCTTGCTTAGGCATAGAGATTAAGACAGCCTTCATCCAGCGGACTACCTCAGTGGAGCAGCTCCATAGTTGGTCAAAAATTTGTGATATTGTAGATAATTTGACTGTGTTTTGCTGCAGATTGGAGAACCTTCTCTGACACGTGTTCATCCTGAAGCAGAGTCTGATCTCCTAATGGAGCCAGACACCCTTATCTGCCCTGCCAGGCTCCCTCTACAGTCACAGGTGAAAACAGGCAATCCGAGAAAGAAATTGAAAGATTTCCATTAGGTCCTGACTCTGGACCTTCCTTTGGAGCAGCCTCTTTCTGCATGGATTACACATGCAGTCAGTGTGAACAAGGCTCTGACTCCTATGACAAAATGACCAAAGCAGCTTGCCAAAGGCACTCATGAAGGTAAAAGAAGTTTATATCCTAATATGAATTATAAAGACTGGGGACTTCTTCAATACTCCAGGTAAGTTCTAAATAGTAAATAATCTTTCTCTTGCTCAGGAAGTCCAAGACTAACAGTCCTAACAAATGTGTTGTCAAAACAGACATCTCTGAAATACAATAGTGCACCATTTTTCAAGGAAAAAATATTAGACACTTTTTCCAGTTTTCACTATGACTTGTTACACTCGTGAAATTTCATTCAGTCTACTCTGTCTCACCATTTCACATCTCAGCTGATCCTTCCTAAGGATCCTCAGCTGATGACTTCCTAAGGGTCTTAAGAGTGAAATTCAGCATTCTACCTAATCATTTTTCCCCATACCTTTTGCTCCATCTCTTTTTCCTTTTTTTTCCCCCCTCTTTCTCTTTCCTTTCATCCACCGTTTTTTTTTCTCCACTATTTGCTTTAAAACTCAGGGCCAGATTGTGAGCAGTTGCTCACAAAAACATTTGCATTGTCATTAGCAATAGCTAATGTGACTGCTCATTAGTGGTAGCTGTTCACAGTCTGGTTCGTATGATTTAGCTTTGCTTCCTTTGTAAGAAAAGCTACTGATTTTTCCTTCTACACCCACATCACGCTTCAGCTTTTTATTCCTCCCCCAGTTTATATACATATATATAACGTTCTTCTTTTAACAGACACACCTCTATGTTTATTCTTTCTAGTTCTTATTGATTAATATTAAATAAAATCTTAGGCATTCACATATGACAGTGAAAGTCAGCTGAGCAAACACAGAGTATTACATCTAAAATAGTCACAGTGATCTCTTCTTATGATCAGTATAGAGAAAGAGGTGCTTTTAAGGCACTTTCTCATGAAAGTAAATTTCTAAAATGCCCTCTTTAGCATCTGCTCTTACCTTGAGTCATGAATTATCTACCTCCATCATGAACACTTTTCCCTGATACTTCTAGCTTAAAACTTTCTCATTAAAATGTAACCAACAGCTACGTAACTTGTTATTGAGACTTTATTATTAAAGGTTAGTGCATTCAGCCTGCTTTACAGGTAGTCCATACTTTCGTACAGAGACTTTGTACCCTGTGTAGCAGTGAGTTGTATAGTAAGAACTTTGTGTTCAGGGACAGTCACCCTTGGGTCCTATTCATGAAGAAGAGCAATGCAGTGACCACCCACATGCAGGCGTATCGCATGTATGGCCATGGCAAGTCAGCTGCGGTACATCCATGCTGTAATAATACATCTGCTTTTTGAGTAGAACTACCAGCTGGGACCATAGTGAGCTGGTCTGCAATGAACAGGTTTAAATGTAACTATATATTTTTTTGTATGAGCAATATTCTTTTGTGTTTGAAAAGTTTAGGATTTGAAAAAGCAACTCAAAAGCTGAAACATTCTAGCTAAAATACAAATATTTTTATTCAAAAGAAGTCTTGGGTGTTTCATTGGATTTACAGTACAGAATCTTGATCCTAGTCAGACTCCATGTCAAATGATGCCTCATAATCCTTTCTGTGAGTAATATCAAAAAACATGGACATGGAAGAGACTTCCCGCTCCTGCTGCACTACGCAAGATGAAGCCCTGGTGGCGAATCTAGTGCGTGTGAGAGAACAAGGACATGTTGTAACTGAAGAGTTGCTCAAATGAGTCATCACTGTAGCACTTCCAACTATTGTGTTTCGAATTGGAGATGGTCTTTTTCCACTTAAAAAAAATAAAGAATAATAAAAAAATAAACTTCATTATACAGGCAAAACCTTAGTCAAATTATTTCATTTTTCCCTAATTGTATCTTCCATCTCTTACAGGTGACGTTACATCTCACCTACAAGTTTTCATTTTACAAAAGCCTGTCCGTGCCCTGGAGGAAAAAGGTAAGCACCATAAGGGGTTGGCTTAAAGCTCAGGAAGTTTTTACTGACTCTTGACACTGTAGGTGGGTTTTTCATTTGTTTGCTTATTTTTTTGTGTCAGCACCTAGATATTTAAAGAAACTGGAAGTGTTGCAGCACTGTAGAAAATCTATAGGTATTATAACATGAATATTCAGTATTGGAAGTAGTCTAAATGCAACTGGCTCCTGTTCTCTATGCTACACACACAACTTGCATTAAATAGGTGCTAACACTGATAAAATATTAAAGCTACTTAAGCATTTCCCTCTAAGTGGATTGAAAAGGAGCAGTAAAACCTAACATGTCAAGTACAGTAACAGCTAAAAAATGTTAGCTCAACCAATGGTTATTTGTGACCTTACCTGGCAAAGAGCACCTTGTTCTATTGAAACATATTTTGCCCAGGAGGTGAAAGAGGCTGGCAGTATTACCTGACAAGTGCTGAGCTTCTCCCTTCCCTCACTGGCCTCAGAGGGCCGCATCTTGCAGAGGGCAAGCGAGAGTCTGGAACCAAAACTCACCAAAGGTGGTAAAAGTCTTTATAGTCCTTGCAACAAACCTTTATCCAGGACTGAAAAAATAACTTTTCACAGATTCACCTGCATAATCACATACAGAGTCTTAAAAATATCCAAGTCAATAAAAGAAAAGAAAGCCTGAAAATCTGGGAGAAGCTCCAGTTTCTTGAAGGCGGTTCAATAAGGCAAATGGCCCAACCTTTCATTATCACAACATTCCTCCTTTGTTCGGACAATTAAGGCAGAACATGTAGTATCTTTTCAGAAAGGTTGGTATATTTCAGGAGAAACATTTCATCAAGTAAAGGAATAACAACAGGAAGAAAACAGCATGCGGAACATTTTCAGCATTAAGTAGGAACGAGACATTTTGCAA